ACGCATTTCTTCACAAATAGCGTCCTTTTTCTTCTCTGAGCACCTAGAAACACCACACGACGTCGTGTTTCGCCATTCTCAACAACTTTCTGCCAGCATGCAAGCAAACATTTTCTATGTCTTGAAGCAAAATAACATCATTCGCTGAGGGCATGTCGGGACTTACTGCACTGTCTTCGGGATCAGTGCTCGAAGATAGTTTATTCTTTATCACAGATAATATTCCGGAAAGCCCCCCGCTCCTATCGGGCATCTTTCGCTTCGTTGTCACTGGCTTTAAAAGGTAAGCGGGCAAATTCGGAAATATCCGTAGAATGCATACTTCAACGAGGTCCCACTTTTTTCTGGCGATTTGTACCTTCTTACCATTGATGACGTGAGTAAGAGTCTTCAGGATGCCCTCCTCATAAAAGGGCCTATCACAGACACGTTACGTGTTGAGCAGTTTCTTATCCGCACGAAAAATAACGTGATCTCACGGCTCTCGCTGCTGAGGTCCACGCGGAGCACGAAAAAAATGTCGTGGTGTCTGATTTTCTGTAGCCATTCGTACAGGTCGGGGGTGCATTATGTGGGCATCATGAAAACACGCCACGCATACAGAGCACAACAGGGCCAGTTAAATTACGTACACAAAAATTTTGTTGAAGCGCACTAAAAACGGACGGACAGAAGAGGCTGACAAGGACAGCGCTTGCTCTCACAACTGAAGGTTTATTAATCAGAAAAGGTATTTAAAGCGGATACATGGTCTTTCACGCATGTGCATCAGAACAGGATGCAACAGAAACCACTCTTGTCAGGATTACAAAAATTGTACATATTATGTATCATTTGTTATATTTTACAAGTACTAGGTGTCGAGATACGCGTACTCTTAATCATGCAGCACAATCGTAGCTTGGCTAACACAGTCATGTCCCCTCTTTCGGATGTAGTAAGATTCCGCTATCTCATGCGTTAGCTGATCCTTGTGTCGAAATAATATTTTTGTTTCTTTAAACACAGAATAACATCTGCAGTTTCTACAGTGATCTGCAAGATGACTGTTGCCTGATGCCTTAACAGATGCGCGATGTTCTCTAAGGTGGTCGTTCACGCATATTCCTGACTGGCCTATGTAGACTTTTACACAAAAAAAGGGCGTCATATATACTACTCCCTTGCCGTATATTGGACGCTCTTCTCTTGTGGAAAAGTATACATAGGCCAATCAGGAAGATGCATGAAAGACTGCCTTAAAGAACATCGCGCATCTGTTAAGGCATCAGGCAACAGTCATCTTGCAGATCACAGCAGAAGCTGCGGATGTTATACTGTGTTTAAAGAAACAGAAATACTATTTCGACGAAAGGATCAGCTAACACGTGAAATAGTGGAACCTTACCACACCCGAAAGAGGGGACATGACTGTGTTAGCCAAGCTACAATTGTGCTGCATGATAAAGAGTATGCAGATCTCGACACCTAGTACTTGTAAAATATAACAAATGATACATAATATGTACAATTTTTGTAATCCTGACAAGTGTGATTTCTGTTGCACCCTGTTCTGATGCACATGCGCGATAGACCATGTATCCGCTTTAAATACCTTTTTTTTCTGATTAATAAACCTTCAGTTGTGAGAGCAAGTGCTGTCCTTGTCAGCCTTTTCTGTCCATTCACTTTTAGTGCGCTTCCACAAAATTTTCAATTATGAACAACAGAGCACCATGAAGCCCAATACTGTTCACACAGAAAGAAGCCTCCATGGATAGCGACGCACTGCAACATGCCCAGCCGACAAAGTTTACAGGAGTGCCCGGAGCGAGCGTGCAGCGAGTGAATCCGGATGTGACAGCAGTGCCACATTTGTCGCTGGCAGCGGTGGCCCTAGGCAACATCGCTCAGCTTTGCAACTTACCTAGTTCTAGAAACGTTGGTACAAGCCTACATAAGGCTTTGGGTTTTAGGGAAAAACTGAACACGTCCCCGATACAAGCAAGTAAGAGACGGCAGAAGTATTGGTGGCAGAAATGGAGAGATAAAGGACTGAAACAGTGAGAAAATGATGTCACTTTACCTGAAAAGGCAGAAAGATGGAACACGAACTTATTTTTTTCTTTGTTATAGTAAGATCAATTTAATCGAAGTACCGTATTTACTCGCGATGAACGCACTCGCATAATAAATGCCCCCCAACTTCAGTCATCAAAATTGCAATTTTTTTTTTACCCCGCGTAATAAACGCAACCCCTATATTCATCCTCTGCAGTCCTGTTAAACACCTCCGAACTCCTCACCCATTGGACCTGTTCTGTTTTTGATTACTTTGCCAACCCCCCTCAATCACCTCAGCTTGCTTCTCTTTCTATCTGTAATAAACCCATCCCCTACCTGGTGCCTCCTCTCCTATAGGCTCTCATCTGTTTAGTTATTACTTTGCCGACCCCCCACCACCACCTCGGCTCCCTTTCCCTCCCCCTTCGCCTGTAGCGGCCTGCCTATTGCTTTTCTATCTGTGAGCTGCAGGTCCTCGGTCTTATCTGTGCGCCACAGGGGTTCATGAGGAGTGGGAGTGTAGAGACATCCAAGCTGATAAGCACACAGGGAGCCAAGGTCATCACCACAAGGGATGTTGGTCCCTTCCTGTGACCCCCCCCTCCCCTGCCTCTCTTCTTTCTTTAGCCTTTCTTTTTTCTTCACTCTGTCCCTTTATTATGGGTCCCCCCTTGGGTGCACACTTTAGGGCGCCCCTCGAGATTACAAGTGTTCCATACATTGGACATCTGTTGAGCGGGAGTTCAATATAGGGGTGCACCGGTCTTACACTTTTGCATGGGAAATTCAAGGGGAATTCTCAACTGTTCGATAAAGCCAAGATATATCTGGGATTCACTGCAATCCAGCGCCTCTTCCTTTGGTTTTGTTCTTCATTTCACTCCACTACACTCAATTTACTAGAGTCCTTACAAATTATATCTCTTCGACATTCATCACTCTATAATATAAATCACGTGCACTATATGTGAGCGCTAAGCGCTGAGCATATCAAGATTTCGAGCTTGTGGGCTACACTCTGTCATATCCACTTGCACAATCGGAAAGTCACAAAATGCAGCGAAATCACAAGTTCATCGTGTGGGATTATCATGCGAGACGCGAGGAATAACACGCGGGGAGGGGCGAATGCATGGTAAAGCAGAGTAGAAAACAATTTACAACTGATATTTCTCGTATATGCAGACCTGCAAACAAAGGAATTTGTAAAACACCGGAGCAAGGTTAGGGGGGGGGGGGGGGGGGTTACTGACCTTTTTTTTTTGCAGCTGCGATGGATTTGCCTTTAGCTACAAGCATACTCATGTTTTGTCATCTTAAGTCAAATCGACGCGAGAATTATTTTTCCCTATTTTTGGCACCAAGAAAAAAAAAGAACAATGCAAAACCCAGAGGGGGGAGGGTTTGCCAAACGCAAGCGCACACACCGGCATTGTGGTCTCATAATGAATGGTTGGAGTGGCCGAACACACAAGGAAAGGGTTTCCTTCTAAGGTGAGAGTCTCTAAGGGGAAGCCGCAAATGCTCCCAAAATTTCATGTCATCAAAACAACTATTTGCAAGAAAATCAATTTGCATCAAAGCAACTTGCGTATGTCTTCACACATGAAAGGACGGGACAGCGCAGCTGGCCGCTGCAAAAGCGCGGGTCGAAGCTTTGGCTTTACTCGCTACTAGATTCTTTGGACAGGAACCCCAAAACGCTTCTAGCCTTTTTTTACGTCTTTGCCGCCTTTAATCCTACCGCTGCGTCAGCCACATGCCCCCGAAGCTCGTAGATTGCTATCGCATCGCTGCGACCACGGTTTTGTGCGTAGCGGTTGCGGCAATTGGTATTTTTGTTTTCAATCCACAAACCCTGTTTTCAATCCTCAAATCGTTTTATGCTTTCTACGGTCGCAATTGCTGTGGTATTGTCTACAGAGATTGTCCACAGCGCAGGTCGCACGCATACTTTCGAAGATTCGAGCAGGTTGCTCTCATTCGGCCTTTGTTCGACAGTTTCGGTACTCAAGTTCATATCGCATGCTGCGATTAGGAAAAGTGTTCGAAACATTCAAATTTTTGTTCAATGGACACATGAATTTGGATAGAGAATTTCCCTTATTCGTATATGCTGCGGTTTCGCATCACTGAGACTATACTGTAACTGGGTAAGTTTAGATGAACGCCTTTCAAATTCGATTATGATAAAATGTGGTGGGCTTGCAAAAAGCCTGGAATGGACTGACCTGCATTTTGTCGACGCCGCCAGATCTCACACACAAGTTTCGATTTCCGGGATATTTTTATGGCAACCGTACAAATGGAAGAAACGGTCAAAATCCGGAGACTTAATTTGCAAGTATGTGATGACGATAACACCAATACATATTGTATTTTTGCCGTAGCCAATCGTGGAGGCCCCGCTACTTTACTAATTTGATTTTTTATCAGAAACGAAATATTTTTCGTAAAATTTCATGCAAGATTCGTAAAATCGTAAGCGCTGTCGAAATTCGTACATTTTATGTGAAATTCCAAAGAGTTGGCAGGTATGTATATGGGACATTGGAAAGTATGTGCCCTAGTCACCTCATGTGAATTGCTGCTGTATTGTCACAAAGTGCATCAGGAGAATGAGAAATGCCGAAAGAGAATAGCATGCTCGATTTATGTATACACCGGGACACGGAAGAACAGTCAAGACACCGCCAATGCTGTTCCGAAATATACTAAAGCTGCAGAAAAGAAAGTGATGTATAGCATGTCCCTCAGGCTATCCACTCGGGCTAAAATAAGAAAAACGGTGGCACGGCACAATTATTGAGTGGCGGCGGCATGGTCTCTCTCAGGACTTCGGTGGTGACACAAACGACAGGGGGCGCACAGCTGTACATGTGACAGGGGTATTAAATGACATCCAGAAAATTCTCACTGGACTAAAGCAAGAAGTGTTACTGAATAAACAAGGATACAGGGCTTTGTCCTTCTCCATGAGGTCCTGGTACATCTGCTCGTAGGTGACACCAAAGTCGTACACGTTGGGCTTGTCTGGTGCAGATCCAGGCAGTTTGACCTGGGCCCCTGAACCGAATGACCGCACCTTGAAGCCCTTCTTGCTGCGCAGACAACATTGGTCAAAGTTGTGCTCTCCTTCTCGAAGCACGTGTTGAATACATGTGAATACATGCAACACCTTCATGTACAACATTGGCGCATATGCAGCATGTTCCCAAAAGTCTAATGATAAAAAAAGCTAACTATCCTTTTCCTTTGAGGAGGGAGAAAAATGAGCTAGTGACACAAAAAATCAATACGGATCCCCTTTTATTGCGACAGCAATTATATGGACACTCTCAGCTGATTTTTGCCATTGCTGTCATGTCCAGAATATATATATATTGTACCGAAGCATAGTGGTGCCAGCTCTGTGCCAGCGTGAAAGAAGACGTTGACGTCCGTGTGTGGCTCGTGCTTGCCGGGTTCCTGCCTGTACCAGCTTGTTGCGGCTAACGTTTCTGGAATAATAACCTGTGTTTTTACGCAACCTTGCTCGTTGCATTTGGTGGAGGTGCTGGGTAACGTCCTGGAGCTCCGCAGCTGTAAGCTACCATCTCAGTCCACGATGACCGAGCGCGTCGATCCCCCACAAGGCTCTTCCACGCTGCCACCCGTCATGTGTTCTGGTGTACTTCGTCTGCGTGACCCACCAGTATACAACGGCACTGAAGATCAAGATGTCGAGGACTGGCTGGCAGAGTACGAGCATGCCAGCGCGATTAACAAGTGGGATGACCCTGCGAAGCTGATTCACGTCATCTTCTACTTGACGGATTTGGCCAACCTATGGTTCACCAACCACCAAGCCGACATCCCCACCTGGTCGGTTTTCAAAGATGTATGTATATATATATATATATATATATATATATATATATATATATATATATATATATATATATATATATATATATATATATATATATATATATATATATATATATATATATATGTATATAGCACCCACCGTGGTTCGAATCAGCGACCACTCCCTCCTCAGCGCACTGCTTTAAATAGATAGGCCACACCGCTCATGCTGTCCGCCTCACCTACGCAAACGGTCTTGAACAAAGCATTTACATTACTTGGACAAGCCATAATACTTTCCCTAAACATTGATGTGTTCAATGGTTTGATCAATAAATGGGTGTGTTCACTGAAGCACATACAGCAGGGGCATTCCAAAATGTCTGTCTCCACTTTATCTTTGAAGCAATAGGAAAAATTGCTTGCCTCAACTCCAGGACTATTGGGGAAGTTGCTGGCCCTGTCTTGCCTGTGAATTCAGTTCCCATCGAAATGTGCACTGCCACTATCACTTTAGAATACAAACTCAAGTCGCTGCCCCAGTTGAGTTGTGGTAATGCTTGTGCCTTTAAAACAATGTACAACTTCATCATCGCAACAGTGTACATCTCACCAAGAGCCTTGCGGACTGACACTCCTTGCTGCACAACTTCCAAATGGTGTGTCAACAAAATGTGTCGGTGTCAGTCAATGGAGACTTAATGTACCTTGATGTGAAAACCAGTGGCTCGTCACGTTTGCCGATGCCGAACTTTGCTTCTTGTCGGACTTGTTAAACGGCTGCTAGTGAAAACTTTGCAAAAACTGTCTAGCTTTAGCAGGCAGAAATTTGAGAAAACAAGAGTACAAATGCTATTACGCGTCTTCCTTAGAAAGAACACAAACACGTGTTTCGGAAGCAGTAGCTGAAGCACATGCTAGAAAGATCATCAAATTAAAAAAAAAAAAAAACGGTAAATTTTACAGCTTATTTTTCTTCGTTCAGCCTCAAAGTTCCTCTCTGTGCATTGCAAGGAAAGCAGCAGTACATTGGCATTGCGATTTTCAGTCAATACACGCCTCACGTCGATACGCCTTAGGTATATGTAAGCACACGCGGACTGTGCGTACTCCGTCACGCTCAAGCCTCTAACATGGTGGCATGCGCACGACGGCCGACAAGTGGCAGCAATTTTGCATAAGGTCTATAGCTTAAAATTGGGGCCATTGCCAAGTACAACTGAGCCCATGCCAGCTCTAGCATCCTGCAAAATGCTCATTCTTAGCTCCTTCCAAACATGAGCATGGATTAAGCATCGAAGCAAAGTACACATGCTGCCAATAAGCCCATGCGGGATGGCCCACAGAGCAAATATGAGCCACAAAAAAGGGGAAAGGACAAGAGCAGAAATCGTGCACATGGGTTCGACAAACTTCTGCCAGGAAAAAAATGTTAAAGAAAAAGAAAAGCCAGCTTGCTGTTAGTACTTAACGAGAGCATAACGTCCAAATGCTGCCCCATATTTGCATAAATAGGTGATGGTTGTATCAACTCTACTTCGGTGATAGTGAAAATCTACCACTTGGGATGGATCAAATCACTGCTATATGTAGACTGCCATCCCTAAGCAGCAAGGGGATTCTGCTACATCAAATTATCTCTATAACATCTTCATTTCCCAATCAATTCCAATTATATTTCTCAAACAAATTTAAATACATTGACAAAGGTCAGCACGGTTTCAGCAAGCAATAGTTATGTAAAACTTAACCCTTTACTAACAAACTATTTTGAGCATGTGACCCTCGCTCTATTATTGACAGTTTCCCCCCGACTTCTAAAAAGCCTTCGATTCCACTTTTTGCTGTCTATTTCTATGAAAACTGAACATGCTAAACATTTCTGCCAATTTCTTGAAATGATTCAGATCTAACAGAATTCAGTATGCAAGTATGCCCAGCAACCAACAGCAGTTTAAGGCCCCTTCCTCAAACCACTGTTGTCCTTCACTTACATTAATAACCTTAGCACTTGCATTTTACCAACAACTAGGTCAATGTATACAGCAACCTCATCTTGACAGCTGTTCTTTCTACTCAACCAAATCAAATGTTAATAAATGCAACATACTAAGAGATAGGAACTGTTATATCTAATAAAAGGAAAAAGCACAGTCACGTCACTGCTGATGCATCCCAAGTTGCATGTATATATTTCTAAGCAAGATGTTGGGTTATACGATTAAACTGCTTGCCACCAAACAAGTCGCAGCTGCTTTTTTGTTCCCCGGCTACAATACCTGGCGGCGAAGATGCTAAATTGAGTCTGCGATGGGAAGGGACGGTTACTGCAAAGGACTGAGGCAAGTCAGAGCATAGCATGACCAAGATGTGGGAATTCAATGCCTTCCTGGAGGGCAGGAATGAAGACTTTGCTTTGTACAAGGAAAGATTCGAACAATACGGCAAAGAAGCCAACATACAAGAGAAGAAGCTTAAAGAGGCCCAGAGACACAAATTAGGCGAGCTGTTTTCATTGTTTTTGCTCAAGCTAAAGGATATACCGATATCAATGCCAAGTGGCAAATAATTTTATTTCAATGGAGAAAGTACACTGTCTTCAGACTAGAGCGACACACTATTTTTGTGACCGGAAGTGACACTTCACCACATGGGAGTGGCAAGATAGGTTTTGATTGGTTTGCTGCAAGAAGTGGTACTCCCGATAAGACCACACTACTATGCACCAGTGTTGAAGAATGGCACCTTCATTCCATTCCGGGAAACGAGGACTTGCCAGAATTTTATTCCTTTTAATTCCTTGGAACGAAACGATTTTCCCTGGGAGATTTTCCCTAGGAGAATGTAATTACTCAATGTTAGAAATGCATCTTTATAGTTTTAGAGCTAATAACGAACACTCCCATAAAGCTAGTGTCTCAAGATTCATTAAAACTGCCAAAGTACAAAAAATTTGTAACTAAGATTGAGGGATAGTAGCTTGGTATATTATCTTGGGCAGTAATACCATCATACTCATGTAATTCCCATAGGAGAAGTTCTCTCGGTACATATAGTATCTGCATGGTAAGCAAGTTTGAATAAATGGGCTGTTTTAATAATGTTTAAGCTTAAATGTGGTAATGCCAAAATGACGACATAGAATATACATTTGCTGACAAAAGTAGTCTTCAAAAGACTAAGCTGTGTTGCCCCACGTATGGAGCGGTCGTGAATATGGGGAAAACTAAGATTTACTAAAAACTTTCATTAATAGGGTACGAAACCCTCTATATCTGCTGGTATTAGTAAGAACAGTGCACCACCGCTTGGTCACTTTCTGCCTTTGCATCAAATATGAAACACTGAGCCGCACTGCTCGTCAGCACTCTTGCTTGTCAAGAGCGCCTCGCAAGCATAGGTGGGGAGGGGAGATCTTTCAGTGTTCGCCAGTACACGGCTATGCAATGTCTTTGTTGTTGCGTTGGACCAGGTGCCTTTCTTTTTCACTTCAATTTTTTCGCGCAACTCAGTTAAGATGAATTACCAACTCGCCCAGTAGTCTGTGCTTTTTTGTCTCAGAGGCTTGTTACATGTGTCAGGTGCTAAACTGCTCGTGAGATAAAGATCAGGCAGTTCATAGAGCATTCGGCACTTTTGTGTGGGGTATCAATGTGAACGAATTTCCAGAAATAATTTCTCCCTTTAGTATCTGTTGGCATAATGCACTTGTGCAATACCTTATGCCTTGGTTTCTTTTTTACAAATTGGCAGATTGTTACGACTTTTACACTACGCCAACCCTTCACTTTAGCTAATTGAAGGTGGACCTAAAAAATGCATTCTGACCTTCAACTTCAATAGAACATGTACTCAGGCCTACATTACTAATTTGAGTGTGGTATTAAAGTATTAAGGGTGTAGCAAAATACATTCTTCCGCAATGTCTTCTTTGTTTGGCCATGCAAACGCGGATATATGCTGAGTTGTAGGCACTGAGCGAGATTGCAAAAAATAAAAAATACAAATAATGATAATAATGATATGATCCCACCCCAGAGCAGTGGGAGTGCAGGACGACCAGCTCTCAGCTTAATATTAAAAAAGGCCTCATCTTCTGGGCGCCATCTCTCGAACGCCTTGTTTTCTGATCATGTTCGGCAATTGGTCACTAGTTGTTTGATCACCAGGCTTACGTCACAAAGTACTTTAGCATTTTCGTGATTTTTAAATGCTGCAATTAAGGTCACAAGCCACACAAGGTGCAAAAAGAGGCGCTCTTTTGGTTTTATTCATAGAAATTTCGCCACGTGATATTATGAGTTGAATGGGCGCTTCAGCGTTTAGTTTTTAAAGCCAGAATTGTCAATAATGGCTTTTTCAACAATTGGTTTTAAAAAATTGAGCTAAAACACTTGCCGTCTATCTCTGTGTTGTGCTTCACAAACATGAGCTGCTCGAGCGTGGACCATTGGACGCAAAAGCCTATGTGGTCAGGCATTATGGTAGCCACCAGTGCTTTTGTAGCCGCCAACAGGCGCGGTGGTGGCTTTCCACCCGGCGCTGCCTCCACTCTAGAATAGAACAACTGTGAGTTTTCTTCAGCTTAAATCGTCGCTTCAGGACTCAGGGAGGCACCGCCGTGGCCACGTGGGCTTTCTGCTTCGAGCAGTTTCCCGAACCAATGCTTTTAAAAGTTTATTCTCTCTGTCCGTATGGAGGGGGAGCACGTACAGTTACTCTTGTACGACTGTGTGATGCGCTGGCCTAGACCTTTGCCGACAGTTTCGGGCGAAGGCACCCATGTGCCTAGACAGTGAAAACGGTGCCTAGTTGAACGTCAGCGCTCTTTTCCGTCCTTGTTTTTTCACTTCTGTAGTTACGCAGTAACCACTTCTAGGTTGCGCTGTTCCTACATTCAGTTATGTCCTACCAACTAGCCTAAGTTTTCATACTTAAGTGAAAACAGTATTGCAAGGGGAGGGGGGGTACGAGGTGAGAAGGCGCGCAAGGTAGTATACGAAAGCTTGCAGTGAACGAAATAATCAGGCCAGCCGTTATTACTCATCACAACTTAGAGAAGGGTTGTTTGGAATATGCGTCCAAGCCGCCGATGTCGACATAGCGCAAAGTGAAGGGTGGGGAGACAGTAAGGCGGGTGGGCCACTGCAGAGTAAAAAAAAATCGCAAGGTGTAAATGGAGGGGGGATGCTGCTTCCTTAGTTCTGCTCGTCCGCAGTTCCGCAAAGAATGGAGACAAATTTAGGAATAACACAGTCAATAAAACAACAAAATTGTAGTAGGTGCGTTACTTCTAGATGTACCGTGCTTGTAATTAGCCAAGCGATTTAGAAATGCTGCTATATTGTTAAACTCAAGGCTCTCATATATTAATGTCTGAAGTTCAAAAAACTCCACGTGAACGAAAACGTGCCCTATTTGTGCGAAAACACATTTCGTTTTCATTCCATTCCAGGCAAAATGTTCTCAATTCTAGTCCCATTTCATTCCTGCAAGCATTGTCCCCATTCCATTTCAGGGTCGCCAAAATGTGGAATGATTCCGGAATCACTTCAATTACGGAGTGGAAACACTGCTGTGCTCTAAAACTTATAAATGCATTCTAAGTTAGAAAAGAACTTGTTTTCAAATATGAAAACAATTAAAAAAGGACGATAGGAGTGCTGCACAATGACCACCATGGGAACAGTGGTCCAGTAAGCCTCTGTACGAGGAGCGCAGTGATTGTAAATGGCTTTTGACGTCAGTGGGAGCGCAAAATACGAAAGAGAACGTTTCTTCTCATCACCTGCTGGGGTTTCGAAATTTGAAGGTTAATTTCTGTTACCGTATACCAATTTCGATATTTCTTTTTGTGCCCATCTCATTATTCCACACCACACGAACTCCTGTGCAGCAGAATGCATATGAAGAAAGCATCCCAGAGACCTTTTAAGATGTTGCCCTTCATAATTGTAATTAGCAAGAACTCAAGGATTTGCTTCTACCAGCGACCTCTGCAGAAACTGAGGAAACTTCCATCAAGGTACAGCAACTAACATTGGAAGCTACAGATTCTACTGGTGCTGAAGACCCACCTGACCCTTTGCGACACTAAAGCACTAGGATTTATTGACCACCAAAGAAATATGCATATGAAAAAAAAAAGGCAAAAGGAATGCTGTATCTAGCATAAGAAAAAGCACTGCTGATGCATCACAAGTCGTGTGCATATGCAAGTACAGGTTTATCAGAATAAGCTGGTCTACACCAAATTAGTTGCCACTGTTTTTTTGTTTCCCAGCAGGGCCAAGGTTGGCTAGGCGTGTGATGCCATTAATAAATTGACAAGCACAGAAGGAATAGGCTCATGTTGGACAGGGCCTGAAGTAGCCACAAAAGATGGACTGGCACTGATTAAATGGTTGAATAATGAGGGCCACCCAAACTTACTAACTCTCAATTGTCTCTCAATCATGCCTGCACATGCCAAGATGTCCTGACAGATAGGATTTGATCATGAACATGGAATAACCATACAAGAGCAATGTAAAACTTCGGCAGTATTGTTCAGTTCTACTGTGCAATAATTTTGCAAACTTGCATCATTAATGCTCCTTATTAAGCATACGAACAAGTGCAGGCTTTTTCAGTCTGCAATCCTCAATCTTTTAAACTTGTAGGCTCACAAAAAGTCATCAAAGAGTATCAACTATGTGTGTTGTTGCTAACTATTTTTACACCACCCTGGTTGCTGCAATAGAAACGCCTCTGTCACTCTACATTGACCATAGCTTTAAAGTGGCCTCCTGCCAAACCACCATGAAAGTCTACTCGTTCGAGCCTGGATGGAATCGCCCACGCACACAATTCATGACCTCGTACTAGTCACTCCATTTAAAGAACTGCTGCAGAAGACACTGGCTGCGTACGGATTTCGGGGCTCACGCACAGCATTTACGGCGTGGTACATTGATGAAAGCGTTTTCCGGCCTGGCGCAGATTCCGCCGTGGTTACAGCAGAGACGAGGAGCTTCTCTTGATCACATTTCATGTGCTTATTAACATGGCTTAAGGCTCAAAAGTCGATATGCTTTTCATGGTGCCCTGTAAATGGGTTGTTAGAGACCAACCGCAGTTTCTGGCGGCGTTTCTTAGGCTCGTGCGAAGCGCTTACGCTTCACCACTGTTTCCGACCTGTGTCACGGATAAGCCGGTTCCGCGCTCTGTACGAGCCGAGTGCCTTCCATTCTCACGCATTTTCTTTGTTCCTCGACGCCAGCCCCGAACGGAGTGGCTGACGGACACAGCGCCAACTACACACCTCAGGAACGCGTGAGCTTCCATGCTTCGGTTCTGGTTGCTAGAACACACCACAGCCAGGCGAAGTGATCCGGGCATGCTGACGCTTTCGTTTTAACAGGAGGCAGCAACAGCAGCGATCGGCACCATGCCCGCACGGCTCTCGAAGAATGTCAGTAGTGATGAAAAAGCCCCGTCATTGCTGTCATCTGGTCCAGGTGGCTGCAACCAGAGGGAATGCAACACCGGTTCGGTGAGAGGTGTGTGAACTAAACTACAAAAGCGACTGAAGTGGTAGGTGTTTTCCGCTAAAGCCACAGAGCATAGAACTTATAGAGCATCTTATTACTTCTCATGGAGCCACGATCGAATCAACAGAAATCAGACAGAAATCAACTACTCGCACATGCTCAACGCGTGTGAAGATGATGATGACCACCGCGCAGTGCTGCCAGCCTGTGGAGCAACTTTTTCCCTCTCCGGAGTGAAAAATTTTTCAGATTTCCTTAGATTTTTATGGAAAGCAGTTTTTGAAGACTAATATGTGTTTGAGTTGTGGAAAAAGATTTACAAGTTCAGTTCACTTTTATATTATATTAATGCATTTGTTTGAAAATACACACTATAATCACCATTCTGAAGGTGAAAACATGTCACAGTACAATATCAAAATATTTAAACATTTCATCTCATGAAATCACAAAGGTAAGCGGTAATCACATTTAGCGGTGGGTGGGATGGGGGAAGACATGTAGTATACCTAGAGGTGTGCGCCGAATGATTGGCGCGCCGCCGCCGCCAACGACGACGTTATTCATCGGCGCAATCGTCGCGCCATTTATGCACCAGTACCGAATTTTCACAGATTTGTCTTTTTATTTTTCATCTTGATTTATAGCTTCGTTTCACATTTATGTAGCCAGTAAAAAAACAGGCTTCTCAGTTATCTTCATCCAGCTTTAGAGACCGAGAGTACCCCTATGAACAGCGGCACAAGTTCGGCGGCCGCTGCATGAAATGACATATTGGACAAATTGACAAAAAATAAATGTAACAGTTACAGTAAAGCATAGACGCTTCGTCTTAGGCTTAAAAGCAATTTTTGCTGGTTTTCTATGTCGTAATTAGCAATGATTTTGGTCATACAACGTTGAATGTACTGGCCCAGCGTGTTGATGCGTGCGAGTTCGCCGTAGCACTATTCGAATATTCATATGGATGCAAAACAGCATCATAATCAGTCCAAGATGGCAGCCTATGATCGTGCCCGAAACAGGGCGTATACACAGAAGAAATGAAATGGTAGCAGTGCGGCACCAATGCAGTGCGTTAGGTGAAGAACTACACAAAGCCCCGAAGGATGAAATCGAAAGGGAGAAGTTTAAAGGAGATTAGAAGCGTCGAGGCATAATACATGCTCGAACCTACTCAGGGTATGTCATCACCTGTCCGTGGTGTTAAAGTTGATAATTTTCGAGGATGACCACTTATATACTGCGTCTCAACCTAGGAGGATATATATAAAAAAATTGCTGGAGTGGAAGCCGCCTATACTTACCCATAGAGCACAGTGAAGCCGGCGGCGGCCATCTTGTGGTGGGCAGGAAGGCGGCCGCGTAGCATATAGTGCACTTCCGCGGCCGTTTTTTTTTCGCAAATGATTGCTGCTAGAGAAGTAAAAACGTGCTCACATAGTCGCCGATACACTGGCAGTATTTAAAGAGACTACAGAACGGTTCGTTTTTCATGTGTTAAAATTTTATTTGTACAGCTTTCTCAGCCTTTAGCCAACATGAACGTTATGGCAAAGTTGTTTCACTGATTCCTAAAAATGACGAGTCTTGAAAGCAAAGACCTAACTTTGTCTTTCACGAGTTCCCGGCTTCGTTCCTTTGTCATGTGGTGCAGCCTGATCTTGATGTACAGCTCCAATACTTGCTTGCTCAAGTTGTAAATATGGTTGTCCAACACGTCGACGTCAAAAAGATGTTGTTCCAATTGTGAAAACCACCTCTTTTCCAGTGATTGACTCAAAATCTCCAGGACTAGTTGTTTGGTATTGGCATGTATGTTCTTAAGGCATTGAGTGGAAGCCTGCAGTCGACGCAGCCCCTTTTCCGCTGTTTCGCACAGTGACACAACGTCTTCGGAAGGGTAAAAGAGTCCACCTCGATTTTTTTGTCTCACCAATAGAGATGTATCCGCTCCATGAAGAGCTTCTATGCACAACTCACAGGTGTTTGTAGTAGCGATTTTGCGAGCGACAAAGCCTGCAATGTAAGGCACGACAGAGCAAACGAATGTGGAGAGGCTCTCTGGATAGTCAATTCGGTCTGTGTAATCGTGGTCCTCTGGTTGTAGGATGGCACACCTTCGCGATGTGACCTCAGTGGTTGCACAAAATGTAGTGGCAGAGGCAGATGCACCCAGAATAGAAACAATATCTTGCGAACAGTTGCCTGAGGTGGACGATCTCACTTCTGTCTGGACCAATAGACGCTTGTAAGCTGCCATGAATTGGGCAGCTGTAGGGTTGTTGTTGAACCCCCCACGTCCTCGCACACAGCCAAAGAAAGTTTCTGCGTGATCTTGACTCATCTTGTGCGTGAGCAGATAGTTAAGTTGACCTTCATGAACGAGTTCCTTGAAGATACTTTCTGTGCTCTGTATACACACAAGAAAACCCACAAATCCTGTCCTCTTTGTTCCCTGCAAAAGTGGTCGACCGAATGGGTCTTTTAAAGCACATATGTACTCTCGAGCGTCGGCAAAAAATGGTTTCCAACAAGGCTCATTTTGCTTTCGAAGGGGGGCTTTGTATGATTTTGCAAACGCATTTCTGGAGTTTAGCAAATCGAAGAGATGATCAAATACCCTCACAAATTTTGCCGTGGCACTAGCACCTCTAAACTGTGGCAGCTTCAGCGTTTGCTCGCAAAATTCAAGAGCGTCTGCGACTGAAGCGCTGAGTGCCTGAACTGCGAGCCGTACCTTCATCTTTTGCTTCTCCCACTGCATATGCACCTTAGTTAGCTTATTGCCAAGGCGGAGCCCTTCCTCGCGCTGTAAAGCCTCCAGTGCCTTTATGTAAGCCCATTTTATGTGGTTTCCATCAACATCAGTGATGTAACACATTGTTGCCAGTGAATTTCTAATCAACTTAATCATGTGGCATGGGTCAAGCAGGATATGCACATCCCTTGACTCATCAACTGGGTTTTTAAAGGATGTGGAGAACTCGACAGGATCAGGCTTCAGTTCTGCACCAAGGCATTTTGCCATAGTGAAATTTGATGACGCACCATCAAATGTTAGACTGACAACTTGAACTTTCACAGATTCCAGTCGTTCAATGCATTGTTTTGTTAGTTCAGCCCTCTCAGAACCAGTGAGCGAGTGGATAAGAAAGTAGCCGACTGGAATTTTCAGCCTCATGTTTATGCCAACAACAATATAAACACAAACATTTGTGGCTTCAGGAAGGCTGTCATCATCAAGAGATGCTCCAAAATCAACGTAGCCAACTACCCTGTCTCCGACAAGTTCAACATGTTTCCTAATCGACATATCATCGACAATCAGAGCGCAGTAAAGAGTTTCAGAGCGACCTTGAACCAACTTCTCCAAGAAAGAAAATGCTTCACCTGTAAAGCCTGGTTGGCCATCAACAGACCTATACCATTCTCTGATTGTGCGCTGCGAAGGGAGGGCGTCATTAAACTTTGATCGCACAAATTCGTAGGCTGCTGGTGAGTAGAAATGTAAAGTTAGTGCAAACGTTCGCAGCTCTGGAGGGTATTTACCTCCACTTTCTGTCCGTGCCCGGTGAAGCAGCTGTTGTATGTCAGGAGAAAATGCTGCATCGAACATCTTGGAGCCCTCTTCTGACAAAAGCTTTTGTTCTTCGATGCCTCTAATAATTTCTTCAGCGGTGATTTTCTTTTGTGTCAGCCTTCGTTTGCTCTGCTGCAACGTTTTAATTTTTTTCTTCAAGTGCAATCTTTCGTCTTCTGTTTCCTGCAACTTCGTCTTGTACCACTGCTTTGATGGTGATACAGTGACATGATCTTCAGTATTTAAGGCCTCTTGCTGCTGAGCAGGACTGCATCCTCGAGGTTTTGGTGCTGGCCGCTTCCTTTTCACCTGAAATAAGCACATAGTGGAAATTAACTACTTTTAGAATGATATATATACTTCAATTATTGCTCATAACATGAATATATGTATTCACGAAAGCATGTTCGGGAACATTCGACAATGATCATGCGCTAATCGTGTGTTGAGCGATATTGTAAACGAGCGAACGGGACGAAAAGCTCGCGAGGAAACACGCAGCAATGCAGTCACGTCGACAAAACACGACAGAAGAGATATGTCTACGTCATTCCAACCTCCTTGATGTCAGAGCACTATATCTGCGAAGTTCCGATGCTTACCGGTGCCTGGAGGTGGGCAGGAAAAGCAGCGAACGAAGTCGGCACACTTCCCGCTTTCAACCTTGTTGTTTGTCCGGTCCGGTCCACGGTGTAAGAAGTAGAAGCTACTTCTTACACCGTGGTCCGGTCAAAACACGCCGGATCAAAGTGCGCAGAGCAAAGGCGATCTTTATCTGTCGGTTTCCAGTGTTCACGACGCACAGCTCGCTCCCATAGGTTCCGTGTCTCAGCATCTTTTGGAAACCTGCCAATAATTTCCAAATATTAATTCCTTAAGCCTACCAATGAAAAACACGAGTCAGCCGTATTAGACCGCGTAAGCACTACGTGCTTTCAGTACGCACCTGTGAAATGTGATCTTGGAAGCAGGAATCGCGCGATTTGTGCACCCATACGCTACGCAGGATTGTACCATGCTCGCTTGAATCGAGCCGCACGCATTCGAATGCACTGCAGAGACACACTTGTCAAGGAAAGACAGGCGCACGAACCGCAATCCACCGTCGCTGCAGGTGAACTGGCAGCGCTGGCCGCCACCGAGCCAGCCGAGCCGAGCTTTCTGCCCACCACAACATGGCGGCGCTGGCTTCACTTGAAGAGCGCTCCCTCCACTCCAGCAATTTTTGTATATATATCCTCCTAGGTCTCAACATATTGCAGAAAATATTTGATGCCGTTTAATTCAGGCATCAGATATTCGGGATGAAGATGCCAATGCAGTAAGATGGCAAGATAGAGAAAGGAAGGCCGGGGGATTAACTAGATCTTGGCATCCGGTTTGCTGCCCAGCACTGGGGGTGGAGAAATAGGGGCAAGAAATGGGGTGTAGAGAGACAGAAAAGAAAACGCATGTGCACTCAGGAGTAGGATGGCAAACTTAACAGAGGTTTTCTTACATTCTGTACACAGGGCGAGAGATCTCTTGCGAATGAGCTGGGTGGCTCATTATAAAGTGTGCGTTTTGACTAAATCAGGGAATGGGTCCATAATGCGCTGT